TCAGATGAAAACAAGCACTGCTAGAACAAAATTTCCTCAACACCTTCCTGATGCCCCAAAGGCTTGATGGACTGCACTGAAAGATCAGTTTCCATCACCATCCATTCAAGACCTCTCTTCTCTCCTTGCCACGGTTAGTACTCCAGCCCCAAATGCTCCCTCCCTGTCTCCAGGACCAGTGTCATACACCTAACTTGGACGTTTGAAAGGCATCTCCTCTGAACACATGCAAGCCAGAACCCTGGATTCATACTCCCCCAACACCCCATTCCTCCCCAAGCCTTCCCTATCACAGTTAATGGCATACTTCTTTTTTTATAAAGAGGAAGAGCTGTGCAGTAGTTAAACACTGAGTTCGTTCAAATCCGAGCTTTTCCACTTGCTAGCCATGTGAAACTATGCAAATGGATTAAACTCTCTGTGCCTCAATTTCTTCTTCTGTAAAATGGGGACAATAATAACACCTAGTTCATAGGAGTGTTGTCAAGTTTTTTTAAATTTATTTTCATTTGGTTGTGCTGAGTCTTAGTTGCAGCAGATGGGCTCCTTAGTTGTGGCAGGCGGGCTCCTTAGTTACGGCATGTATGTGGGATCTAGTTCCCTGACCAAGGATCAAACCCGGGCCCCCTGCATTGGAAGCGCGGAGTCTTATTGGCTGCACCACCAGGGAAGTCCCCTGTTGTCCAGTTGTAATGGCTTTAAAATATGCCAAGGGTTCAGAAGAGTTAGCCTGGCTAACAGTACATGTTAGGAGTTGTCATCCATCCAGTTGCTCAGGACAAAACCCTGAAAAGGATCCTTTATTTCTCTCTTTCCCTCACACATCATATCCAAATCCATCAGCGATTCCTGTCCATTCCACCCTCAGATACATATCCCAAATCTGACCTCCTCCCACCATCTCTATTGCTACTGGCCTAGGCCAAGCTACATCGTCACTTCCGATGGCCTCCTAACCAGTCTCCCTGCTTGTGTTATTGCCATACTCTCCTCATCTGTTCTCCAAATGGCAGCCAGAGTGATCTTTAAAAAATATAAATCAGAAAAAAAAAAAAAAAAAGTAATACCCTGGTGGTCCAGGGCTTAGGCCTTAGTGCTTTCTTAGTTCCTGGTCAGGGAACTAAGATCCTGCAAGCCATGCAGAGCAGCTAAAAAAAAAAAAAAATGTAAAATCAGATCACATCCCTCCTTTTCAGACTCAGAACATAAGTCACACCCCTTACTATGGCTGTCAGGACCCCACCTGTTTTGGCCCTTGGCCACACCTCATCTTCTACAACTTCCTTCCCTTCCTTGGCTCTGAGAGTCAGTTGTTCCCTCCATTACCCTGTTCTACCTAGAATAATGCCAGAGTAGAGGAGGTGGATCAGGGGCTGTGGTCCTAGGGTGGTGAGGGGAAATTTCTCTGGGGAGACATGTGGGCACACTTGAACAAGTATTGGGGAAAGTCATGCAAGTACCTGGTGTGAGGAAGCATACATACGTACATATATACACACATGTCTTCACAATGACTTGATTTTCTACAAATGGTGTTCAGTGAGGCTCCCAAACCCCACTGGGGAGGTATCCAGAGTTTCAAGGCAGCCTCAGGTGTGGGAATGCAGACCTGGTCGGCTGGAGGAGTCCTGCTCTGGCTGCCAGGTACCACTGTCCTATTCCCACATCAGCCAGGGGGCCATGTCAAGGGCTGGTGGGCGGAGGACAAGCCCGATGGATTCAGGTGTTCTATCACCTCCCGGCTGGAAGCAGCATCCTCAGGGCAAGGAGGTGAAATCCACAACACCCTCCCCTTCTCCGTCCGAAGCCTCCCTTCCCCTCTCTGAGCCTGTCTCTGCCCCCACAGGTAGGAGAAGTTGCCAGCGGAAAATATCCCTTTGTTTTTCCGAGGCGAAAAGATAAAAAGCACCGAGACCCATAGGAGAGCTCCCCGGGCCGCAGAAGAGGGTGCAGTTTCCTGGGTAGCTTCCTTCGGATTTCAGGGACTGAAGTTTAAAGGACAAGGGCAGCTCAGTGAATAAATGAATGCTTCTAAGACATGGACCTCAAGGTCCCCAAGACATAGACTGGTAATAGTCCTGCAGACCTCTCACTTCTGCCATGCGCTGTGATAGAGTCCGCTGGCCCAGAACGTGACCCTGGGGAAAATTTCAAGCGCCGCCGAAATAGTAGTGTTACTGTCTTCGTCCGCGCTGTTGATATTACTGCCATTCCGGTCTCTTCTTTCGCTAAAAGTGGATTCGTTCCTGGCACAGGAATGACAGCAACCTAACACCGCGCACTACTCGGCGCCAGGCATTGTTCTTAACTGTCTCGGTGTCCCGCGTGAGCGGCGGGAGGGAGCCGGGCTCGCGGGGTGCAGTTCCCGTGGCGCCCACTGGGTGGCGCAGGCATCGCACTCTGTCTGGAGCCGGGAGCCAGCGGCGGGCTGACCTCTCTAGGAAGGGCGTCCCGGGAGGAGGAGGGCCCCTCATCTGTGACAGAGGACCCCGGCGTCGCAGCCCCGAGCTGGGAGGTCCGCTGCGGCCTCACCCCGGCTCGGGTTCCGACAAAAGCCTTTTGTTTGCTTTCCAGAAACTTTTCTCCTCAGGGATTCGCATCCCGCAGAGCAGGCTCCAAGGCCACGCACGGGCTTGGCCACAGATGTACGGGAACGGGGGTAAAAGGAGGGGGTGGGGCGGAGCGGGGAGAGGGAGGAGGGGGGCTCTTGCTGAGAGAACTGAGGAGGCACAAGGTAGTCAGTGGTCAAGGCCAGACCCGCGGTCAGCCTTCTTGGTTTGCTAGTTAGCCAGCCTGCTGCGTCCTGGTCTTGGGGTTCTCCTGCAGGTGCTGGGGCGGGACTGGGAGGTTCTGCCGGGAGAGGGGAGCCAAGAGGGGGAGAAAGGGGCAGAGTAGCGGAGAGGAGCAGGCAGGGCCCAGGCCCGCTGGCATGAAGTGGGGCCCTCCCCTGCCCCACCACTTCGTCTCCCTCCTGGGTACAGCTGTTCAGCATTTTCTCCCGAGGTTCTCTGATACTTGTGGGAACCTGCCCTCTCGCCCTGCTTCTGACTTGACGCTTCTTCCGCGTCTGGGCAATGCACCATCTGCCCAATTTGAATCTGCTTTTTGCTTGTGAGAAGGGGAACAGGTGAGGTGTGAGGCTCTGGAGCAGCACATCCACACCACTCCTGGGATGTTTCTCCACACACAGCGGGGACCTGGTGTTTATTGTCCAACTGTGTAAGAGGGCACTGGAGAGGGACGTGAGAATAACGTGCCCCTGGGCTATGTTATAAAATGCACATTCCACCCTCTCATTCCGAAAGGTTCTAATTCGGGAAGACAAGGACGGGTCCCAGGAGTCTGCATTTTAACAAACACCATCCCAAGGCATGGTGGGTAGGCCACACTTGGAGAGATACCAGCCAAAGCTTTTGGGCACTACTGTTCCAGGAGGAGACACTTGTAGTCAGCAGTTCCTCCTTCCTTTCTGAGCATCGCCGCTGGCTTGGTGTGGCTTCAGGTTCAGCAGCTCTTTGAGCATTTTGTCCCCTGCCCTCAGCCTCGTCGTCAGCTTTCCCGGGCCTGGTTTTTCTTATTTTTCTTTTTCCTGACCTCACTGGAACATTGAACCCCATTCTTTCAGAAGGTAAGCTCTTTATTAGCATCAACCTGGACTTTTAGGAATCCTCAAACAGTTGTGCAGCATTGGATTAATTCTGTAAGAAATGACATTTTCATTTTCCAGCCGTTCTTATAGAACCTGCATTCTGCAACCACGTCATTTTCTTTTCTTAAATGGTTCTGATTTGAGCCTAAAACACACCCCCTCCACTCCCACCCCCATTCCTCTGAGCCTCCTGAACTCCAGGTCTTTGCGCTGTCAATCACAATTTCTTTCATTCTTTTTATTTTTCATGGAATTAGGGAGGCCAAAAAAAAAATTTTTCTTTTTAAACAAAAGATAGAAAATGTCTAAATTTCTTGATCTCCTGGAAGAACTTAAGGTAACTAAACTTCTCTGGGGTTTGTTTTCCCTCATGGCTCAACCTTCTATTGTAAAAATAGAAAGTTGGCAGACAAATAAATTATACAGAGAGTCCTCAAGGTTGGGTGTTTTATTATTGCATTTTTAAGAGCAGTATTTTGTAATTGCTCTGATAATACAAGCGATGATATTTGTGAGAGTGAGCCCACAACACCTTCCCTGCTGGTGTCTGCCCTCTAAGAACCCTGTGTGATGGATACACAGCACCAGGAGCAGACCATCACAGAACATTAATAAGGAGGAAGCTGAGTGCTGGCGCCTGGAGAGACAGAAAGCAGTAACTAGGCCACACAGGCCTGTCATTTTTGCACTTTGAGCAAGAAGTGAAAAATTGGAAATGGTCCCTCTACCTTCCCAGCAAATACAGGGCCTGGCTCAGAATTTCCTCTGACTTTGTGTCCCCAAGACACTGGCTGCCCAATTACGTGGAGCTGGATCCAGAGGGAAACTGTTCGTGAGAGTTCAGGAAAATGAAGGTTCCCTCAGCTCCGTGAGGGCAGATGGGTTCTGGGTGAGATGAGAGATCTTGGGGAAGGTCATAACTGAGCTCCCGATGCATCTAGAACCCTTTAAATTTTCATTTTTCTAAAATGTTTGTCCCTTTCTAGAAATTATATTTTCAAGTTAGATTCGGTAATGTGTTTTCCAATATTTAACAGGGCCTCAAGGAAGAGATAATGCAGGACTTCCCTGGTGGTCCAGTGATTAAGACTCCACGCTCCCAATGCAGGGGGCCCAGGTTCAATCCCTGGTCAGGGAACTAGATCCCGCATGCTTGCCACAACTAAGAGCCCGCATGCCACACCTAAGGCCTGGTGCAGCAAAATAAATAAATAAATATTTTTTTAAAAAAGAGATAATGCATTTCTTTGTTGGGTAGAAGGGTGCTAAACTTGCAAGAATCTTCTTTTTGTACTACAGAAATGGCAGTTCCGCTACTTTGCTAGCCACGGAGAACTTGCTCTGCAGCAGCTACAGCCAGTGCAGGGCCCCCAGCCCAGGATGAGAACAGGACCACACCTGGCTCCTCCAGGCAGCCGCTGGACTCCAGGACACTGACTCTGCAAGATTTATTTTGACCACGTAAGTGCCCCATGTGCTGTTTCCACTTCTTACATTTCCCCATTCTCCCTGAGAGGGGTCTGTGTCATTGCCTATTTACAGAAGGGGAGAGGGAGGCTGAGGGAGGCTAAAAACCTGGACCCAAGTCACAGTCCCCGACTGAAAGTGGTGCCGCCCACCTGGGCATCCCGGATGCCTCGACCACCAAGGGCTTCAGCAAGTGCATGTGCAACAAAGGACAGAAGAAGGGCTCTGGGATCAAGCCCAGTTGCTCTGATTCACATTCCAAATTCTTTCCACTTCATCAAAAAGCTAGGACAATGATCTTCAGCTGTTTCATTGAAGACCTCAGAAATCTGTGTCCCCACCTTCTCTGCTTTAACTCTGGAGCTGTGTAAGCCGATCATCATTTCATGCCCTAAACCAAAGAATAAACTCTACAGTTATAAACATGAACATCACATGAACATCACAAAGGATGCTCTCTGGCCCATGGGGAAGACAAGTACCTACAGGACAGCTACACGGAGCCTTGAGATTTATTTCCTAAGTCACCACCAGGCCATCCCAGAATGGCATTTTGGAGATAGACAGAGAAAATGAAAATGTTCACACTCTGATTTGTTACTTGTAATGACACCAAGCAAAGGACTGAGGGGATGATTCTGGGCGAAACTTGGAAGGCCAGGAGGAACACGCCTGTGTCATGTAAACATGATCCAAAGCAGCTTGTTTCAGACAAACATTTCGCTTCTGAAACTCCTGAAACCTTCTTGGCCCTTGAATGTGGTAATTCATCTGAACATTTTATTTTTGCACTCCGTGCTTTTAAAAAAAAATACATTTATTTATTTTTGGCTGCGTTGGGTCTTCGTTGCTGCACGCGGGCTTTCTCTAGTTGCAGTGAGCAGGGGCTACTCTTTGTTGCAGTGTGCGTGCTTCTCATCGCGGTGGCTCCTCTTGTTGAGGAGCGTGGGCTCTAGGCATGCAGGCTTCAGTAGTTGTGGCATGCGGGCTCAGTAGTTGTGGCTCACGGGCTCTAGACTGCAGGCTCAGTAGTTGTGGTGCATGGGCTTAGTTGCTCCACGGCATGTGGGATCTTCCTGGACCAGGGCTCGAACCCATATCGCCTGCATTGGCAGGCGGATTCTTAACCACTGCGCCACCAGGGAAGTCCAATCTAAACATTTTAGAAACTATTTAACCACGTGCCATGAAGGCAAGGAGTGGGAGTGGTGATCTTTAAGGAGTTGTCTCCATTTTGAGGGACACACAAAAATGAGATGGGCAGAAAACTGAGGTCTTGCCAGGGTGGTTTTCCAGACAAAAACTTAAAGAGGAAAAATGTCTAAGAAAATACATGATATGACTGATGATGTCATGAAGTGAAAAGGCCATCATAAATGCTAATAAAAAATATAGTGGACAGATGTTCCCCAGATGTTCATTTGAGACCTGGTTCAGGTCTCCTCCAGGGAGGCATTTGTAGCAACACTAGCATCTAAACTAATTCCCTTCTTTTTTTAAAAAAAATAAATAAATACATTTATTTATTTATTTATTTATTTTTGGCTGCATTGGGTCTTCCTTGTTGCCCATGGGCTTTCTCTAGTTGCAGCGAGTAGGGGCTACTCTTCGTTGCAGTGCTCAGGCTTCTCATTGCAGTGGCTTCTCTTGTTGTGGAGCATGGGCTCTAGGTGCACAGGCTTCAGTAGTTGTGGCAGGCTTCAGTAGTTGTGGCTCGAGGGCTCTAGAATGCAGTCTCAGTAGTTGTGGCGCACGGACTTAGTTTCTCCGCGGCATGTGGGATCTTCCTGGACCAGGGCTCGAACCCATATCGCCTGCATTTGCAGGCAGATTCTTAACCACTGCGCCACCCGGAAGTCCCCAAACTCATTCCCTTCTTTAACCTCATCTAAAGTTTTTATAATGAGCAGAATACACCACAGTATTCAAAAAAAAATCCACTTATATTTGACTGGAATCCTTTCTCCAATACCCACTTTGGGGTCAGGAACTACCTCCTCAATAAGAATGATAATGCCTAGTAAGCACTGCCTTTAGATCCAGGCAAGAGGAATCCTGGTCCTGATGCAGCACTTTCATGGGATAAGCCCACATCCCTTCTCCCTCCCTTCTGGAATATTTCCCAAGTACTTGGGGCCACATAAGCCCCTTTTCAGGTTTGTTTTTCCTGGATAGACCATGTTGCCAGTTCCTGGAATGGCCAAGGGGGAGCTGTTTGCAGGGGGTCTGCTTGGACACAGAGCTGGGTACCCACCTGCCTCATGTGAGAGCTTTCATGCCACCAGAGCCTGCTGGGAATAAAAGGGGGTTGGATGGCAGGCCGGGCAGCAAGACTCTCTCCCTGTGCCACTGCATTCTAGTACCGAATTCCAAGGAGGCCAAAAATTCTATGTCTGAACTGGACTTTCAAGCCTTGTGTTGCTCTGAGGAACTTAACAATCAGAGAAGAAAAGGAAATAAAAGGAATCCAAATCGGAAAAGAAGAAGTAAAGCTGTCACCGTTTGCAGATGACATGATACTATACATAGAGAATCCTAAAGATGCTACCAGAAAACTGCTAGAGCTAATCAATGAATTTGGCAAAGTAGCAGGATACAAAATTAATGCACAGAAATCTCTGGCATTCCTATACACTAATGATGAAAAATCTGAAAGTGAAATCAAGAAAACACTCCCATTTACCATTGCAACAAAAAGAATAAAATATCTAGAAATAAACCTACCTAAGGAGACAAAAGACCTATATGCAGAAAATTATAAGACACTGATGAAAGAAATTAGAGATGATACAAATAGATGGAGAGATATGCCACGTTCTTGGATTGGAAGAATCAACATTGTGAAAATGACTCTACTACCCAAAGCAATCTACAGATTCAATGCAATCCCTATCAAACTACCACTGGCATTTTTCACAGAACTAGAACAAAAAATTTCACAATTTGTATGGAAACACAAAAGACCCCAAATAGCCAAAGCAATCTTGAGAATGAAAAACGGAGCTGGAGGAATCAGGCTCCCTGACTTCAGACTATACTACGAAGCTACAGTAATCAAGACAGTATGATACTGGCACAAAAACAGAAGGATAGATCAATGGAACAGGATAGAAAGCCCAGAGATAAACCCACACACATATGGTCACCTTATCTTTGATAAAGGAGGCAGGAATGTACAGTGGAGAAAGGACAGCCTCTTCAATAAGTGGTGCTGGGAGAACTGGACAGCTACATGTAAAAGTATGAGATTAGATCACTCCCTAACACCATATACAAAAATAAGCTCAAAATGGATTAAAGACCTAAATGTAAGGCCAGAAACTATCAAACTCTTAGAGGAAAAAATAGGCAGAACACTCTATGACATAAATCACAGCAAGATCCTTTTTGACCCACCTCGAGAAATGGAAATAAAAACAAAAATAAACAAATGGGACCTAATGAAGCTTCAAAGCATTTGCACAGCAAAGGAAACCATAAACAAGACCAAAAGACAACCCTCAGAATGGGAGAAAATATTTGCAAATGAAGCAACTGACAAAGGATTAATCTCCAAAATTTACAAGCAGCTCATGCAGCTCAATAACAAAAAAACAAACAACCCAATCCAAAAATGGGCAGAAGACCTAAATAGACATTTCCCCAAAGAAGATATACAGACTGACAACAAACACATGAAAGAATGCTCAACATCATTAATCATTAGGGAAATGCAAATCAAAACTACAATGAGATATCATCTCACACCAGTCAGAATGACCATCATCAAAAAATCTAGAAAGAATAAATGCTGGAGAGGGTGTGGAGAAAAGGGAACACTCTTGCACTGCTGGTGGGAATGTGAATTGGTACAGCCACTATGGAGAACAGTATGGAGGTTCCTTAAAAAACTACAAATAGAATTACCATACGACCCAGCAATCCCACTACTGGGCATATACTCTGAGAAAACCATAATTCAAAAAGAGTCATGTACCAAAATGTTCATTGCAGCTCTATTTACAATAGCCAGGAGATGGAAACAACCTAAGTGTCCATCATCGGATGAATGGATAAAGAAGATGTGGCACATATATACAATGGAATATTACTCAGCCATAAAAAGAAACGAAATTGAGCTATTTGTAATGAGGTGGATGGACCTAGAGTCTGTCATACAGAGTGAAGTAAGTCAGAAGGAGAAAGACAAATACCGTATGCTAACACATATATATGGAATTTAAGAAAAAAAAAAACGTCATGAAGAACCTAGGGGTAAGACAGGAATAAAGACACAGACCTACTAGAGAATGGACTTAAGGATATGGGGAGGGGGAAGGGTAAGCTGTGACTAAGTGAGAGAGAGGCATGGACATATATACACTACCAAACGTAAAATAGATGGCTAGTGGGAAGCAGCCGCATAGCACAGGGAGATCAGCTCGGTGCTTTGTGACCACCTAGAGGGGTGGGATAGGGAGGGTGTGAGGGAGGGAGACGCAAGACAGAAGAGATATGGGAACATATGTGTATGTATAACTGACTCACTTTGTTATAAAGCAGAAACTAACACACCATTGTAAAGCCATTATACCCTAATAAAGATGTAAAAAAAAAAAAAGGCAATGAGGTAGAGGCACTTTATGGGCAGAGGTTGCCTGGCTTGCAGTGGGAGGGGCACGGAGAGGTCTTCTTCTTCTAGGCTCCACACATATCTGAGGCAGCCTGGGCATGTCCTGGCTAGCTCAGTCCCTGAAGGTTCTGTTTAATTCTCCCCATGCTATTGCTGTCACCTAACTGGAGCTAAGAAACGAGTCATCAAAATAATAAAATGCCTAGTTAAGCTTAAAAACAAAACTAGGGGACTTTCTAAATAATAAGTTATAAAAAACAAAGTGGAAACTGCAGTTCCCCATAATGAATTCAAAGACTCTGTTCCAAGATGGAAATAATGTTAAATAAGGGAGTTTAAGGCAAAGGAGGTGGTTAGGAGAGAAAGGTGACTGACATGGAACTGAGAATATACCAAGGCTCCATCTCAAAAACAAATGTGTATCATTTGTAGCAATGGTTCTGTGTGTTGCTCTTTTGATTTAAAATATAGCATAACTTCACTCTTTTAGATGCCACTAACCTAAAATACGGATAAATGTACATGGTGAGGACAGATTGACACTTTCTTCTACCCCACTTAAAAGATTTACTAAGAAAATTCAGCGGACAAACAGGAGTGCAAGGGGAATGTCAGGTTTAATTAATAAATCAGCTCTTTAAAGGACTTTAGCACAGTAATTGTTGGTATGCAAATGGTGCTGTGAACTATAAATGGGTCATCCATTCTTTTTTGTTTTTAAAGGGTACTAGGGCTTTTATTATTATTTTTTATTTTTTTACATCTTTATTGGGGTATTATTGTTTTACAATGGTGTGTTAGTTTCTGCTTTATAACAAAGTGAATCAGTTATACATATACATATGTTCCCATATCTCTTCCCTCTTGTGTCTCCCTCCCTCCCACGCTCCCTATCCCACCCCTCTAGGTGGTCACAAAGCACCGAGCTGAAAGGGATCTCATGGAAGGACTTGGGGAGCCTTTCAAGTTGTTGAAAGGTAGCAAGTTGCATTTCATCCCCATTAAGCAGTAATGATTGAGTCCTTTTAAGCCTAACATCAATAGGTAATATCTTCTAGGTGTTTACTACATACTAGGTCCTTGGTTGAGTGCTTTCCTAGCATTTAGCCCTCACAACAAGCCTATGAAATGTTGTGTACTAATATTATGGCCGTTTTACAGATGAGGAGAATGAGGCACTGGGAGGCCAAGGTCCGTGCCCAAGTTAGCCAGCTAAATACTAGGTATACAAAGACAGGTACAATCAGCTCTCTGCCTTTAGGAAGTTTGCTATCTAGTATTTTTTTAACGTTATAAATTTTGTAATTTTAATAAGCTCAGATCAGCTTCATCTTCCAACTGATCTGAATAGGGTACGTTTCACTATAGTAAAACAACATGAGATATTTTTCTAACCAATTAACTGTTGTCATAGATTATAATACGAATGAGGGGAAAACTGTCTGATGGAATATCCAGTCCACACTTGGGAACAGACTGCTTGAAGAACATTCTCATTTCCAGATTGGAACATGGTATGTATTATGCCTGAACGATGACAAAAACAGTGCTGATTTTGTAACAAAACCTCAGGGAAGCTATTAACAAGTTGGCATTTCTAATTCATGTGGAAATGATCATTTTATTTATCAGAAAATTGCAGCAGTGGTATTCATTTAATTAAGAATCTGGTACTGTGGAAGGGAAATTTTATGAAGTTTGTAATGTGGCAGACAAACGTGAATTCAGACGCAAAAGAAAATTGGTTACATATCTAAGGGTCAGCTTCTTTTCCTTTGACCGTCTCATTTTACATGGTTTGAGAGCTGCTTAACAAAGGAATATCATTATGTTGTATCATTTTATAAGATTTTTTTATGGCAAATTCATCTAAGTAGTAACTGTACTAGGCTCCTAAAAACCAGAAAGAAAAGTGCTTCCAACGTTTGACAACAGCTAAGGAAACTCTCTCTGTGCATTGGAAGGCAGGTTAACATCCAGCTGCTTTCTCAATTGTAAGTAAAGCATTGGCATATTCAAATCTAGTTAATAGGCATTATAAAATCAAAAAGGTAAGAAAGCAGGTTTGAATGAGACAGAATCTGAGAAAAGCAGAGAATGGGAATGAGATGGAAACTGGAAGGGGACGAAGAGTTTGGAAAAGGTGGCAGAGGAGAGCACCCACTCTTGGTGGCTGACACCCCACTTTCGCCAGGAAACACTGCTCACCTGTCGAAGCCTTAGGCCCGCTTATCTCCTGGATCCAGCTGCCTGCCAGTGGGTGTGCCACTTCCATGGCCCAGCCTTCCTAAGCCGCCTCACCTCCAGGTCTGGATTCATTGTTTACAGTAAGCATTTGTTGAGCACTAGTTATGTGCCAGGTGCTGGGCTGGGTCACACCCATGAACAAGGAGAACAGGTCCCTGGGCTCTAAAGCGGATGTTCTGGTCGGAGGAGACAGCTGTAAACAAGTAGATAAATAATTGTGAGAGATGCAGATGGCAATCTGTGCTGTGATGAAAATAAAGCAAGGTAAGGGGATTGAGGGTGATGGAGGAACACAGGTGATTAGGGAAGGCCTCTCTGGGGTCGTGACATGTTAGCAGGGAAGGAGCCAGCCATGGGAGGCTCCAGGGGGAGAGCACTCCAGACAGAGCAAGTACCAGGGCCCTGGGGCAGGTAGGAGTTTGTTGTATCTGAGGATGAGCAAGAAGGTGCCAGTGTAGCTGAACTGTAGGAGGGGAGAAAGTAGGAGATGGAGGTGGAGACGTCACAGATCCTGTGGTCTTCTAGGCCAGGACCAAACTCCTGGATTCTCTTCTAAGTGGAATGGGAAGTGATTGGAGGATCTTAAGTAGGGAGGTGATAAGATCGATTTCCATTTTCCAAATATTATTCCGTGGAGCCTGGGTTATAGGCAGATGAGAGTAAGGAGGTGAGTGAAGAGAGTGACCAGTCATAGCATCCCTCTTCTTCCCCAGAGGTGAGTGCAGGAGTGGGTCTGTGCCCCTGCTGGGGGCCTGAAGCCCATCCATAGGATGTTTCTGTGGAAGTTAGAAGGTCAGACCCTCCCTCCTCTCTTTGGTGTTGAGCCACAACTTCTGCCACTTGAAGGAGCCAGAGAAAGTGATAAGGGGCTGAGAGAGGGCAGCGTCAAGGCCACACCTGCCTTCCCTGAGGTCCCAGGGCTTCCCCGGGTTCCTCCAGCTCTTCCTTTGATTCCAGAGCTTTTAGCTGAAGGAGTTCTAACAGACACACAGAGGTTAGAGACGGAAAGCAGATGGCCAGGAAGGAGTGGAGGAAAAAAAGAGGGGGAGATCAACCTTGGCCTTGAACGTGGGTGGGATCCAGGAGGAGTGAAGCAGAGATGCGTGAGCTTTGGCCCAGATCTCAGGCAGTGAGGACTCTGTGATCCTGGCAAGAAGACAAGTGTGTGTTTTCTGTCCAAACATCCAAGTTACTCATTTCCCCAGGTGACGCTGCAGCTGGGAGACCTGTGAACAGTCCCACAGCTAATAGCTCACAATTCTGGGTTTAAAAAAAAACAGGATGGGGGCTTCCCTGGTGGCCCAGTAGTTGAGAGTCCGCCTGCCGATGCAGGGGACGCGGGTTCGTACCCCGGTCCGGGAAGATCCCACATGCCGTGGAGCGGCTGGGCCCGTGAGCCATGGCCGCTGAGCCTGTGCATCCGGAGCCTGTGCTCCGCAACGGGAGAGGCCGCAACAGTGAGAGGCCCGCGTACCACAAAAAAACCCCAAAAAAACAGGATGATATTTAAACCAAGAAACAAGAAAACAAACAAGGGCAGTGCCTTAGTGTGTATAGCACAGGGGGTAAAGCAAAATTAATTCACAAAGATTTCCCTTAAAATATAGGGAAAGAAGGTCCTGACATTTTTCTGCAAATTCTAATGGAAATTAATAAAGATGAGCAAAAATATCACAAATATTGTCATTATTCTATGTGACATCCTGTTATTTTATTGTAGTGAGTGCGAAGTGTTTACAAAGGGTCTAGTAGCTTCTCTCTTGCCTCGACCTCCTGCTCTCCATTTTTCTGGTAAGGGTTTAAGTTCCTCAATCACCAGTTGTCTGACCAGCCACAGAAGTTGCAGCCTAACCCCGTGCAGCGGGTAGAGGTTAAGTTTGGAATGACTTAACCTGCTTCGGGAAGAGGTTGATGAATCTAAATGGGAGGTAGAGGTTATATGTGGGAGGGGAGGAAACCTTCGTTCTAAAGCAGGACATCTGGTGTCCCTTCACAGGCATTGCTCCCATTCAAGCAGTCCTCGTGTTCTCCAGCCGGGCATCATCGGCCACATGATATCCTACGGGGCTAGGGTCACCCTTTGGAGAAGTAGGAGAAATGCCCTCCCAAAGGGGCCTCTAAAAAATGCTGCTGCTGCTGTGTATGTGTGTGTGTGTGTGTGTGTGTGTGTGTGTGTGTGTGTGTGTTAGAGTTTAGTGCAATGGTCTTTCCAGCTTCTACTTACAGCTCCCTCTCTCCCTAGGTCAGGGCCAGGCATCGATTCGGTGTCAAACACCAACTTTTCCTCAGCCTTCACTGAGGCTTGCACTCCTCACACAGTCAAGGTTGTCTTGCCGCCTCTTTTAAGAGGAGCTCTTTCCCAGGCCAGGCAGCACCTCGGTCCCTCACATAAGGAGACTGTGGGTGGGCCAATCCCACCAGTTCACCTGGCATTTCTAGACACACCCACCCTCTTCCCATCCCCCACTTCAAGTGCCTATACCAAGTGGGTGCAAGGAGCAAATCTGTGTTTAAATAAGATTAGACTGGCAGCCAAGGACAGGATGATTTAGCCTGCAGCAGAATCTTCTGGAACACTTGTTAAAAATACAGACTCCTGGACCCTACCTGGATAGTGTCATTCACTAGGTCAGGGCAGGGCCTGAGAATCTGCATTTTAAACTCCTGCATGTGTCCCACCCTCACCTCCACCCCCATGATTCTGATGTATTGACTGTCAGACCTGGCTGAGAGGGGAGCAAAGCTGGAGGTCAGGAGGTCAGTGTGGAGCTTACATTGTACAGGAGAGATGCCTGAGACCCTCAGCAGAGAGGAAGGGAAGGAGACGGACACCAGGGACACAGTGTGGAGGTAGAGGAAAGGAAGCCGGGAGGGAGCGGGGTCGGTCGCTCCCTGGTCTGCATCCAGGCCAGAGCCCACTTTTCCAGCAGGATGCGGCTCTCACACGTGTAGGGAGGGGGCCTGGGCTGTGTCACCTCCTTCTGGCTCCAGCTGGCTCTGCTCTCCTGACAGCAGCTCTCTCCCTGGGGACAAGCCAGGGCCACTCCCTGGGAAGGCTCAGGTTACAGCTGTGCCCTGGCCTCAAACTCGGCCTCTGCATGGCCCTGCCGGGTAAAGTTACCAAATGCGAAGTGTGACAGATTCCTGCAGGAGGACAGAGCGTGGAAACCATGGCTGATCCCAAAGTGTTTTCTTTTATGTCCCAAACCCACTTGGGGATAACAACGGCACCTGACATTTCCAGAACCCTCTGCTGGGGGCTTTAAAAATGCCTTGACTACATGGGGATCGTGATCCTGGGACTTTTTTTTTTATGTACATAATGGATTGTCACATACAAGTGTCAAGGTTATTTTTCTTCTTCATCTATTCACTATTTAAGTGGGGGGAGCATTAATCTCATTTTATAGACATGGATCATTTCTGGATATAAATGGCTCCCTAGTTTTAGAGATTCTAACTTGAAGCTCCTCTTTTCTTTCCTTTTTTTCTTTTTTAAAATTTATTTATTTTTTGGCTGCGTCGCGTTTTTGCTGCTGTGTGCGGGCTTTCTCTAGTTGTGGCGAGCAGGGGCTACTGTTCATGGCGGTGCATGGGCTTCTCATTGCGGTGGCTTCTCTTGTTGCAGAGGACCAGCTCTAGGCGTGCGGGCTTCAGTAGTTGTGGCACACGGGCTCAGTAGTTGTGGCTCATGGGCTCAGTAGTTGTGGCTTGCAGGCTCCGTAGCTGTGGCTCACGGGCTCTAGAGCGCAGGCTCAGTAGCTGTGGCTTGCAGGCTCAGTAGCTGTGGCGCACGGGCTTAGTTGCTCTGCAGCACGAAGCCCCTCTTTTCTTACAGAGCTGTCTCATTTGTGTTAATGAGGGCCGTTCTTTGTGGGTGGTCCCTGTGGGCCTTAGAGAACCATTTTACCCAGGGAGCCTCACCTGAGAAGTTGCCTCCAGCTGGCTTTGTGTTCATCCAGAGCACCTGGTTCAGGCTTCCGCCCGGAATGGCAGCTTCGTAAATGCTGCTGATCCTACCCTGGATCTAGACTTCACCAAGGGAAGCGGCCCTGTGCCTTTAGTCCAAAGACTTCGCGGAGATGATGGGATCCTTCCACAGACGAGGTAGGAAATGGGGGTTAGGGTCAGAGGGATTACCTCAACTTCCTAGAGAAAAGTATCGTGGCAAAGTTTGTGTTGAGGCTTAATTGGGAGGCGCAATATCAAGGCATCCAGGGTGAGGGGAAAGGAAGGAAATGTAAGGCTGCACAAGATGATGCAGCCTTGAGCTTGGTCGCACAGGATGTCTTCCAGACAGGCCAAGGGGATCCGTCCACAGCTCAGAGTAGGAAGAGGAAGAAAAAGGACTTTATCTGCGGGCTCCTTCCTGTCTCCTGTCTTTCTCTGGTCACAAGATTCTCTCCATGGCGTGTTAATTCCTCCGCAGTTCTGAGTGTGTTACCTGTCTCCTGTAAGCAGTCACCGGGGAAGCTGGACCCCGGACCCCACGCTTCATTCATTCAGATTGGGCTTGGTGTCAGACAAGTAAAAAACATGCAGAAGCCCAGTGTTCACCCCAGGTTATTAGCAGTAGCTGCTGAAGCCAGAGGACAGGTGGGCGAGCAGACCTGCGAGACACATAAACTGAGTTTGGTTCGGTGATAAACAAGGAGTTAGGGATTAAAGAAAAAAAAAAGTTAGGCTTCTTGTTTGTTTGTTTGTCTTTCCACTGAAACTTTGGCCCTACTAGACCTCCAAGTGACATCTACAACTTACTCCTCTCTTGAGACTGGCATCTGCCTTTAGCAACATATGACAGTGGAAAGGAGAGTCCTGGAGAAGTTGTGAGGGAAAAAGATTCAAATGTCCTCATGTCCCAGACTACCCCACCTCATTTCTTTGCCATGCTCTACTACTGACTGTGTGACCTTGTGAAAGCCGCTTAACCTCTCTGAACTGGTATGGCAATTTCATGAGGGTCAGCGTAATGCATACAACACAAGGTCCTTTAGAGAAGTCAGTGAAATAACAGATGCATAAGCATTTTGAAAACTCTGGTGTGCTCTCGAAGGCAACGGGCTCTTGTTAGCACTCCCCTCTCTTCCTGTAGCCCCACCTACCATCCCTCTTGAGACACTCTGGCTTTTCTCGGGCCTTCCTGGGCTTGGTTCCAGCTGCGTTTCTAGCAAGAATCTCTTCAGTTCTGGCCCCAACCCCATTTGCTCCTTCAAGCTCATCTATCCCTTGAAACAACCTCGCCTTGGCACAAGGGAGAATTCTGACATTCATATGAGCGATCCTACTCTTTTAGCTATAATGGTTTGCTAGAGCAACGATTTCACAATTTCACAATAAAAGGAGCTTTCTTTTCAAACAATGAGTAAGCTCTGCACAAGTACTAACAAGTCGGGAACCATAACAACTTGCATGGGAAAAGCTGGTCTGACTGTATCCCGGAGTCTATATTCGGGCTCAAAAGAAATGCAGGTTAGCTTGTTTGTTTCACTGCTAAGCCTTTTCTCGCTCAACACCCTTTCCTTCGCATTGTCTCATTTTAGCCTCCCAATGACCCCTATGAGGTAGGAAGGGCACCTCCATTTTTACCGTGGAGGAAGTGGAGGAAAAAAAAAAACCCGAGTGATTTTTCCCAAGGTCCCAAACAGCCAGTCTGAGGTCAGATCAAATGAGAAACTGTGTCTTTTAGTTCCTAGTATTTTCTGTTGAATATTGCTGCCATCATTTTCACCTGTCCCTCTTCCCTTTATTCTTGATTTTCACAAGGACTTCTGTCTCCAGGGAAAGCGTCCTGGCTTCTAGCAGGTGATTGTATTCTTGGTAACACGATTTCTTTGATTCACCGCAGAACCGTGTGGCCACTAGAGACCAACCCAAGACCACACGGCCAACCTCCTCCCTTGAGCTCAGGGGAGGCCTGAACCAATGTTTCCTAGCTGGTTGAGGGAGCCTCGGGGTGCCATGATCTGCCCCAGAGTTCAGAGCTGAAGAAAGGGCCAGGGTCACCCCGAACTCAACCTCATGTTTTGGGGCTCCCCTCGTGGGAGTCTGAGGCTTACCCTCCACCTCCATCCCCAGAGGCTTGATGGCCAGATGTGGGACCTCCAGATCTTTTATTATGCTGAATGTTGTTCTGCTGGTTTGTTTTTCTCAGGGGACTGTGCAAGGTGGTGGCATTCTGAGAGGGAATCTGGGGGATGGAAGTGGAGTGAGCATGGGCTGGAGAGGTAGAAAAAGAGGTTGGGAGAGGAACTTCAGAGAGGGGGCAGAGATGCTAAAGGGGATGGACTGTGGCTGAGTGGTGTGCATG